GGGGGGGGGGGAAGGAGGATCGCTCACGACTCCGAACCCTGCTATATGTGTACAACCACAACAAAAATGCTGGCCTATTGTGCTGTAGAAAATAAGCCACTACTCACGGGCAGGATCATAAGCTCGGGAGCCAGGTCTCCAAGAGCCTTCATCCGGCTGAAGAGGATCTCGCAGCACGTGTCGATCTCCTCCTGTCCAGTGAGGAACAGGAGGATGTCCCCCGCGGGCTCCGACAGGTGGATCTGCATCACCGTGGTGATACTCGCCTCCACGTAGTCGGGCTCGGGCTCCTTCGTGTACAGCACCTACAAAAAGAAGTAAATCACAAAGTGAAAGGTGATGTGCGGCAAACACACCAAGAGACAGGTTGCGTGTGGAGAGAGAGAGAGAGAGAGAGAGAGAGAGAGAGAGAGNAGAGAGAGAGAGAGAGAGAGAGAGAGAGAGAGAGAGAGAGAGAGAGAAGTGAGGGAGACCAACTGAAGGCCCCGTCAAAATTTTACGATTTTTCTCAAAGGGAGAATGTGACGCTTGCTTCGACGCAGTCGGACTCGGACTCCTTTTTCCCCCCAAAAAAAATCAAGAAAAATAGAGGCAGGCTCTTTCGTGGACAGCACCACTTTATGGTAGGAAACGGCAAAAAAAGAAGGGGGGTACACATGTGGAGAGCCTCCACGTAGTCGGGCTCGGGCTTGGATCCATGTACACAAGTACCACTATCATAACCGTACATAACTCGACGGGAATGTTCTGCCTAGAACACTTAAGATGCGGCAGTCGAAAAAAAGAAAAAAAACACAAAACACAAAACACACGCTTGAATGCGTGTGATCTTCGATATTAGCATCGAGCGCGCTAACCGGCTTACCAATGAAAAGACGCCAGTCTAAGCGCGGTTGAAAACAGAAAATGCTTCTCAATGCCATGATGTGAGGGGGCGTCATGGGGGACGCTGAGTCTTGTGTGTGTCGGGGCTGCCAGAGAATGATCCCCTGCAGTTGCAGTTCAACACTGTGTTGCAATACCGTACTTGTCGGAGAGATGGCACCCCCTTGTCCACGTTATTTAATAGCGTATTTCTCCGCAACCAGGGGGGTGCCACCGCCGGAAAGGGCACGGTAGTCTTGGAAACATCTCGTGGAGGGCTTTCCTAGGAAGTAGTGTCGGTTGGTGTTCGCACACTCCTAGTGGTGGACAAATACGCTACTGTAAAAAATTCCAACACCGGGGTGCCATCTCTTCGACTCTTACGGGGTAACACAACACCTTGGCTACGTAAGCACATACCTCTACGGGAAAGGTTCTGCCAGGAATGGTGAAGATGGGGCAGTCGAAGAAGTACGAGCTGAACTTCTCGGCGTCGAGGGTGGCGGACGTTACCACCAACCGGAAGTCATCCCTCCGCTTCAACAGGTCCTGCGCCGTGCCGTGCCGTGCCGTGAAGTGTGGGGAAAAAAAAAACGGGAGAGAGATGAACCGGGGCCCCCGCCGTTGGGGGATGGTACCTCTGAGGGCATGTATCACTTGCCCGAGTTGGCAATCATGTTCGAGTATCACTTGCAACGAGTTGGAAATCATGTTCGACCTCATTTGAAAGGATGAGCGCGAGATACCTCCGAAGGCATGTATCACTTTGCCACGAGTTGGAAATCATGTTCATGTTCGAACCTGATCTTGAATGGTGAGAAAAAAGTTGGTTATCTTGGGCTGAGGGTCATGGTTTGGGAGTATTACTCGCGGTGGCAACAGTGGGGGTCCACGACACGTTCGGAACAAACCAAGGACTTCCACACACCGACACCACAGGTTGAAACCAAACAGCGACACCGCAAGTTGAAAGGATTTACAACTCTCGTCTGAGAACCATGATCGTTCACGTGTGGGGTTGCTTTCGTCATGCCGTGGGAACGGTTTCAAATACAGAGTCAACAATGGCATCTACAACAACAACAACAACAACAACATGCATATTTCTTTGTATAAAGAATACGCAGCAGTACATACCTTCAGAAGGCCGAAGAGCACGTCCGTGTGGATTGTCCGCTCGTGGGCCTCGTCCAGCATCACCGCCACGTAACGCCTGCCACGAAACAAACACAAGTTTCATAAATGAGGGTCACCGCAAGTGCAGAAACCCGTCATGTTTCCACCCATGCGAGAACAGAAGGCCCCATACCCGAGAACCTCTAACTTCGAACAAATACTCGTGTCCTCGGTTCTCTGTGGTATAACCGGCAGCAGTAGCAGCAGCAGCAGCAGCAATAGCAGCAATAGCAGCAGCAGCAGCAGCAGCACCAGCGGGAGAAGGAGCAGCGGCAACGCCAAGAGTACTCACGAGAGATCGTTGTCGGCCAGGTACTCCCTCATGAGCATGCCGTCCGTCATGTACTTGAGCACGGTGTCCGGCGAGGTGCAGTCCTCGAATCGAATCGTGTACCCGACCTCCTGTCCCAGCTCACACCCTTCGCCACATCATTGAGCAACCGCAACAACAGAAGCAGCAATATCAGCAGCAGCAGCAGCAGCGGCGGCAACAGCAACAACATCAGCAGGAGCAGCAACAACAACAACAACGAGCGTTCAAACGGTATGGGTACAAAAAAATTACTTTCTCTGAGGACGGCAATGGCATCAACAGCACCATCGACAAGAAAAAGAACGTGCTGACGGTCTGCGTGAGAAGCCGAGTCTTGAACCACGAGCGCGGTTCACGCCAGGCAGACCCAATCCTTCTCCGTGCTCCCGGATCGGAGTTATCGAGTTAATCAAGTTGGAGGGGACGCACAGGTTAGCTACATACCACAAACATGCCTCCTCAATCTTTTTTCGCGCTCCGCGCGAAGTAGCTTAGTCTGGGAGTCACGAGGTGATCGCTCGTGGCCACCTCTCTCTCTGTGCTCTCCGAGCCGTTGTTGTTATTGTAGATGCCGGTGTTGTCTCCGTATGTGAAACCGTTCTCACGGCATGATGAAAGGCTACCCCACGCATGGACGATCGTGGCCTCCAAAGACGAAAGTTAGCTGTACATCCTGTCAACTTGCGGTACAGTACCGTTGAATTCCAAGCCCTTGGTTTGTTCCGACCGTGCCGTGGACTACCAAGTCATGACCGTCAGCCCAATATTTTCAATTTTTCTCATCCATTCTTTCCTTAGATTCTGTTCTTCTCTCTCGGCATGAGCAACAGATAGCTTCTCCTTGAACCCCTATAGACCCTCCATTTCCAGCGTTTCATCTTCGTCGATGTCGAGCCCCTTCCATACGTCCTCTACAACCTTGACCCATTCCGTGCATTGTCTACCCATCTTTTTGTTTGCCCACTTCGCCAGCTGGGGTAGGGGGGTTCATATCTCACCGTATTCTTCAGCCACGCGCTTTGCCACCGACATGGCCGCCACACGGCGGGGCTGCGTGCACCCGATGATGCCGCTGCTCGTGAACCCCATCTCCGCCATGTACTGCGTCATCTGGGTCGTCTTACCGGAACCGGTTTCTCCGATTACCACCAAAACGCGGTGCCTGGTTTTGGTTGTTGATGGGTGGCGTTGCAAGCAAACGATTTGATTGGTCAGACGGCCCCTGGCGGTTTTTTATTTCTTGAGGGTGCAGTCGCATGCAAAACGATTTGAATTGTCTGACAGTGCCTGATTGGTCTTGACTTCTTGAGGGTGCAGTCACATGCAAAACGATTTGAATTGTCTGACAGCAGTGCCTGTTTGGTCTTGATTTCTCGAGGGTGCAGTCGCATGCAAACGGTTTCATTGGTCAGGCTGCCGAGGTGTCTGGTTTGTTTGGGGGGTGCCGTCGCAAAAAAACGATTTGATTGGTCAGGCTCCACTGGCTCTTTGATGGAAGGATGACTATTTTTCGATTTGGTTCTTTCGTGCAGGAGAAAATCGCCAGCATCTCCCAGAAATACACACAAAACAAACAAAACAACGTGACGAAATGAGCAAAACACACACATTTACGGGGAGGGGAATCCGTTCCGTGTGACCACGGGTTGGAGTAAACCGCAAAAGCGCGGTGAGCGCTGATTTGAAGCAAAAAAAAAAAAAAACACAATACTCACCAACACATACAGTGGTCTCTTATCAAGCCACCCATGTGTTGTGGCCGGTCATCACGACAACAAACATTTTTCGACTAGCCGGTCGCCCCGGTTGGCCTATATCTTCAAGATACTGCATGAGTCGGATGATGATGGCACCCTGGTGTTAGAGGTTTTTCACGAACAGCGTGTTCCTCCACAACTAGGAGGGTGCGCCAACCGATACTACTTCCACGAGATGTGTTCAAAACTACAACTTTCGGCAGTGGCACCCCCTTGGTTGTGGAGAAATTCGCTACAAAAGAAAGCGCGCACCACGGGGGTGTCATCTTTCCAACAATCACAGGTCCGTTCTGTAGGGTACTGATACTTCTGTAGGGTACTGGGCGAGTACCGAACGTTCTGTGAAATCTCTGTAGGGTACTGGGGTCTCACAGAACTCCTCTGTAAAATCTCTGTATGTGCTGGGGTCTCACAGAACTCCTCTGTAAAATCTCTGTATGTACTGGGGTCTCACAGAACTTTTCGGTAGGGTACTGGGAGAATACAGAACGTTCTGTGAAATCTCTGTAGGGTACTGGGCGAGTACTGAATGTTCTGTGAAATATCTGTAGGGTACTGGGAGAGTACCTAACAGTCTGTAAAATCTCGGTAGATACTGGGGAGAGTACCGAACTATCTGTGAAATCTCTGTAGGGTACTGGGGTCTGACAGATCTTCTTTGTAGTGATCTGTCGGTACTTACAGAGGGAAAATACCTCCGGTACCGATCTGTGAGTACCCTACAGAACGGACCTGTGCATTTGTGCATACGGTAGTCGTGGTTAGCCTCGGAAAACCTAGAGTCCGTCCGGTTAAATTTTGCCACCATCTCCTGAAATCACCTTGGGAATTGTTTTGAGTGACTGACGTACCCCCTAGTGACATACTTTATATCGTAAGAAAGCTCTGTTTCCGGCGGATCGTTTGGATGGAGCAGATTTTTTTTTTTTTGTTGGCGAGATATTCACGATTCCGTGGAGATTTTGGATGATTTTGGTTAGTTTTATTTGGTCGAGTGTGAGGTCATATATATATTTTTTAGACCGGTTTTGAACGTATCACGCCCAGGGGCTCACGGCGACACAACTCAGCTTTATTTTCGCTAATAAACAACGGAGATATGGGCAGAAAACCGCATTTCAGGTGCCCTCAGAGTTTAGTTTCTTGGGGAGTATTGGACCATACGATGTCCAAAAAGNAGCTGCTGTCACGATCAATATAAAATATTATCACATTCAATAACTGCTAGATTGTCGGCGTTTCGAGGCAGTTTCGGGGAGAATGGGGGTCCCGTGGGGGTTTTTGGGGGCCCCGTGAGTGCATGTGGGGGCCCCGTGGGATCATGGGGGGGTCGAATTCGCCAAAAAGTGGCCAAATACACGGATTTTTTTTTTTACCCCGGATTTCGATGCTTCTCGACCGTGCGGTTCTTGCCAACTTTGTTTCACGATTCAATTCCTAAAAATGAGCGAGAAAAAGTGGGGGTCACGTTGTGGCAAAATTTAACCGGACAGACTATACGACCGAGCAAAGACCGGGACGGTTGTCACCGTCAAGACAACACCAACAAAGAGCAAAAGGCTGATACGGTGAAGACGACAAACACAACAACAATAACAGCCACAGGAGCAGCAGCGGCAACAACAACCCCGGACCGCCCCCTCTCAACAAAACTCTCTCTCTCTGTCTCTGTCTCTGTCTCTGTCTCTGGCTCTCTCACGCACACAACTCTCACAGGTTCCCGGTTCATCAACCGCACTGAGACTGACGTCCTTTCATTGGTCAGCCGGTTAGTGATGTCCATGCAAATAGTTAAAAAAAAAAATAACGCACACACACACACACACTCACTCGGCAATGGCGGCGCACAGCTGCGTCCGGAGCTTCGCGATGGGCAGTCCCTCCCGCTGCTCCTTGATGCTCTTGCTGGACACCTGCCCGTAGCTCAGGTTCTTGCCCTGGGCCTTGGTCTTCCACTCCGGGAGCTCGAACGTCCTGTGATCGGCCAACGTTTTGACGGTGCCCCGACAGAAATGGAGTATGAGAGATAATAACGGTATGTTATTGGTAAACAGTACGTGCTCTGCTTCTTCACGCTCCGGGAGCTCGAACGTCCTGTGATTGGCCAAGAGTGACAGTGCTCCGACTGAAGTGGAGCATGAGGTTAATAACGGTACGTTCTTGTTGTGTGCTACTTCAGTCTTTTTTGCTACGCTCCGAGAGCTCGAACGTCCTGCGATTGGTCAAAGAGTGACAGTGCCCCAACTGAAGTGGAGCATGAGGTCAATAACCTTATGTCCCTTGGTGTACTACCATTTTTCTCACGCTCCGGGAGCTCGAATCCCCCTGTGATTGGCCAGCTGTTTACAGTCCCCCGACAGCGGTTATCATGACACAACCACCAGACGTGAAAAACAAATAAGGGGCATATACAAGCATGCTCCAATCGGCGGCAACGCGCTCGGTGTGTGCCTCTGCCTCCCACACCCCGGAGTAGTAAACGTTCTCATCATAATTTGGTGATCGACGACAACACCCAAACAGCAGCAGCCGCATCGACGACATCGGCGGCAAAAACAACCGCTCACGGCTCACGCAGCATCGCCGGGACATGAACAGCAACAGCAACATCAACGACAGCAGCAGCAGCAATAAACAACCGCTCGCCCGGACACGCTGATACCCCCGAGCTCAGTTGTGAAGAGACGCTCCCCCTGCATCAGCACCAACGACAACAACAAAAAACGACTGCTCGACGTACCTAACAGCAGCAACAAGGCAACCGCTTACCCGGAGACGCTGATGCCCCTGAGCTCCATTGTGAAGAGACGCTCCCCCGCATCTGGCATGGGGTCCTCCCAGGGTCTGTTTAGATCCTTGGGCATGTTGTCGATCAGCTGTTGATTTTTCGTGCAATCGTTTCGAGGAGGAAAAAGAAGGGAAAAAAACAAAAGACCGGGTCGAGCAGTTGCGTCGGTAATTCGACGTGAATATGCATACGCAGCAGCTCTTTTTCAAAATCTCTTTGTCTCTATCTCTGCTTCTCTTGTCCCTGTCTGTCTGCCTGTTCGTCTGTCTGTCTCTCGTGGGTTTGATGGTAATTCGACGTCAACATGCATACGCAGCAGCTCTCTGTCAATTCTGTCTTTTGTCTCTATCTCTGCCTCTCCTTCTGTCTGTCTGTCTGTCTTTCTGGGATTGCTGTCATTTCCTACGTTAACTCGGTCGCCAAAATGACCAAGGCCATGGCGTGTCACATAACAAAGAATAGGCCCCATTAGCGCGCTTTCAACAAAACATACAATGTACAACGGTCCCAAAGTTTGAGGATATCTGGGTAGCCGGCCGCTCATGTTGTCTACAACAAGCATTGTGAGCTATTGTCGTACATGGGTCCCAAGGCTTAAGCGCACTTACACAGGTTGCCGCTCGTGTTGCCTACAAGCAGCGTTGCGAGCTACCTACTGTACATGGTCCCAAGGTTTGAGCGTACCTACACCGGTGGTCGCTCGTGTTGTCTACAATCAGCATTGCGAGCTACCTACAGTACTGGTCCCAAGGCTTGAGCGCACCTAGATAAGTGGCCGCTCGTGTTGTCTACAGTCAGCATTGCGAGCTATGTACCAATACCTGCCACCTCTCACAAGAAACGTTTCTCGGATTCTCGTCGTTGAGATCCGGTCCATTCTTCCAACAATCAAACAAGCAAGAAATCGGGCCAGGCTAACGAAAAACCAGGCGGTCTCCCCGGTCTTCGCATTTTGTTGGCATCATCTGGGTGGCCTTCGCTTGCTGTCTACAAGAGGCATTGCGAGCCCGGTCGCCCCGGTCTTCGCGTTTTCTTGGCATCACCTGATTGGCCTGCACTTGCTGTCTCCGGGCGGCAATGCGAGCCGCTACTACTTGTATGATATCGTAACTACACACTTACGGAGTCGTCGCAATATAGTTAGCATCACCTGGTTGGCCTTCGCTTGCTGTCAATAAGCGGCATTGCGAGCCGCTACTGATATAATACACACCACGGAGTTGTCGCCATTTGGTTTGCATCACCTGATTGGACTGTGCTTGGCGGAGCTCGCGACGATTCTCGCAGGCAAAATATATATAGTCTCAATTCGAGCATACCGTGTATGACACAGGATAACACACCCCCTGGACCAATTTTCAACGCTCGATTACTCCACGACGAAGAGGATGCATAAAGGAAACGATACATTCTTGGAAAGCTCTCGACGGGACGGTTCTAACGCCGCCGTTTTCGGCGCCGTGACTCTTTCTGTTGTTGAGAAATCGAGCTTTGAAAAATCGGTCCAGGGGGTGTGTTATCTTGTGTCAATTACGGTATCTGGGTGGCCGCTCTTGCTGTCAACAAGCGGCACGAGCTACCGACTACGAATATCACATAGTACCACACTTGCACACCACGGATGGTCACATTCATTAATAACACTTTTCCTCCGTTAAGGTTGGGGAGGCTTGTCACGAGTGGGAGCTCTCTCCAAGCCTTTGTTGCAGATCATCTGTTCTCATCCACTTAACCCCTTCGTGGTTCCATGATTTCGACATCATTTTACTGCGGAATAGTTGTCGACGATGTAAAGTTTGGTATGAAATGAGGCCTCCTGCCAAGGCATGGTAACGTTTGCATCACCTGATTGGCCTGCGCTTGGCGAAGCTCGCGACGCTCTTTGGCCATCTGGACCTGCTGGAGAGCAGATCGCTGCATCGACCCGTCCGGGTTGGCCACGATGCGCACGGGAGACAGCTCCCGGGACTGTCGGGTTTGCCCCCTCAGGAACGCCGGCTGTACAACAGGGTGGGGTGGGGGGGCGGGGGAGTAGTCATGTTTTGCATGCCTCAGCGGATGGACCGTTGAGCACGGGAGACAGCTCTCGAGACTGTCGAGTTTAGTCCTTCAGGGACGCCCGCTGTGTAACCGGGCGCGGGGCGGGGGGGGTACTCATAGTTTGCATGCCTTAGCGGTTAGTCCATTTGACGCACGGAAGACAGCTCTCAGGACTGTCGGGATTGGCCCCTCAGAAAGGCCGACTGTACAACAGGGTAGTCAGGTTTCGCATGCCTTAGTGGTCAGGCCATTGATGGATGCACCGGAGACAGATCCCGGGACTGTCGTGTTCGGCCCCTAGGAAACGCCAGCTGTAACCAGGGTGGGGGGGGGCGTAGCCGTGTTTTGCATGCCATGCTCTGGGACGGAGCGATACGCCTGGTTTTCGCCGGCATACCGTATATGACATAAGATAACACACCCCCCTGGACCAATTTTCAGAGCTCGATGACGCCACGACGAAGCGGATGCATAAACGAAACGATACATTTTCGGAGAGCTCTCGACGAGACAGCTTCAACGCCACCGTTTTCGGCGCTGTTTGACTCTTTCTGTTGTTGATAAGTCGAACTTCGAAAACCGGTCCAGGGGGTGTGTTATCTTGTGTCATTTACGGTAGGTTACGTTTGACAAGGACGGACAAGAAGAAGATGGCTATCATTTGCGCTTGCTGTGCCAAACCAGATATGCGATGGGTTTATTATCCCAGCTAAGTAGCGCGGTCGATGCTATCATAATCAAGACCACAAACACACAGGCACATGCAGAGAAGACGATGAAAGCTATCCAAAACGAACGCGCGTCCAAAGCAGTAGCAGCCATGGCAAACATGCAGTTCCTCCTGTTATTGTTACGGTATCTGTTCTTTAATCCAGAGAGTAGCGTAGACTCCCCCATGGCATTTAGAAGCAATCTTTGTTTTCAACCGCACTGAGACTGACATATTCTCATCGGTCTGTCGGTTAGCGCGGTCGAAACTAGAAAGAAAAACAAACACACACGAACCTCGTCCTCGTTTAGCTCGATCTCCAGCTCCTCCTCCGTCTCCTCGAAGTTGCCGAGGATGCCCATGCCGGACTCAGGGTCGAAGGTCGGGTACTCCGACACCGGCAGCACGCCGGACGCGATCAGCTGCCTAGCCTCCCACATCTCCTGCTCGCTCAGGTGCTTGCCTGCGCGCTGGCTCTTTTTCTGTTCCGACGTTTTTTTCCGCGGCACAATTGTAGCCAACGCATGGATAAAATACACAAAAGAAAAAAAGATTGGAGTGAGCACGGGTTCTAGACGCAAGGCTACGTGTGGTTGTATCGTCTTGTTCACTAATAAAATAGGCCAATCGTTCCAGCACCTTGCGTACTGTTTTCAGTGCGCGCTTGCTCTCCAAATTGGCAAGATTGATGTAAAGCGATGGGAAGCAACAAGGCGGGTGAAATCAGCTGGCATAGACGGAACAATCAAGCTGTTCCACACATTCAACTAAGGCGGCTGCCCCACATTATGCGGCAATTACCAGCTGCCGCCCCCCCACCCCCCCGCCTTATCCGGGGACCCCGATCGATCGCACCACACACATACCTCCTCCTCCGCTTCCATGGCGCGGAGCTTCTCCTGGGTCAGTCCCGGGTGCAGCGGGTTAGACGCCGCCTTCCCGCCGCCGCCGCCGCCGCCGGGGCCCGACGGATTCGACTTGAGCTCGTCCGCCAGCTTGGCCGCAGCCTCGTGGCCCCTGCCCGGCATGAGGTCTTCCCCAGTGGTCTGATCCACCTCCTTGATGGAAAGGCTCAGCCTTGCTCCCGCCTGAAAGGAATGGAGTTTTTTTTTTTTTAATACATATAATTGTCACAATTGAAGTGAAGAAGGGTATGTACTCGCAAGAGAAACAACAAACTACAAGGGAGCTGATTTTGAAAAGAGGGAAGACTCAGCCGTGCTCCCGCCTGAAGGGGAAGGCGTTTTTTGTTGTTTTTCGGCGGGAGGAGAAACGGAAATTGTGGGAAAAAAACAAAGAAATAAAAAAAATTATAAGACATTCGGAACGAAAACATTGTTACATTGCGCAGGTATGCACATCAAAAAGGCTCAGCCGTGCCCCCGCCTGAAGCGAAGGAGTTGTTGGACAGTAGAAATAATAGGGCACTCATAAATAAAAAATCATTTACACACGCGGGAACCGATATTGCTCAGGTATGCATATCAAAGATACTCAGCCTTGCTCCTGCCTGAAATTTTCAGGCGTTTGTATTTGTAGTTTCGTTGCATACATGTCACGAAGGAGGTGAAGAAAAGGGATGCATTAACAAGAGAAACACACTTGCGCGGGCTGATTTTGCACAGGGAATGCAAGTCAAGGGATAGGCTCAGCCTTGCTCCCGCTTGAAAGGCTTAATTATGGGGGGCGGGCTGAAATTGTGAACAACAAAATAAACTAACAGGGCATTCATTAAGAAAACACACCTCGCACGCGGGAAATGATATTGCGCAGGTATGCATATCCAAGGAAAAGAAGAAAAAAAAGAGTGCGCACTACCCCGCCGTGTTTCAAACAAAAGGGAAGCTCACTGTTGTTATCAAGTACTGTAGCAACACAAACCTCCGTATGGGAGTAGAGATACACAAAAAGGCTGTGTTTTGCTGAGTTGAAATGGGGAGGTTATGAACGATTTTTTCACATGAGGACAACAGCAACAACAACAACAACAACAGCAGCTCACCATGGAGATGACCTTGACCTTGCAGTTCTGGCCGCGCTTCACGACCTTGCTGGGGTCCCGCAGCATGCCGTTCTGGATCTGGCTCACGTGCACCAGCCCTTCTTGCCTCTTCCCGTTGGCCTGCGGGGGGAAACCCCTCAGCTCGACGAAGCAGCCGAAGTCCATCACCTAACACCGCGGGGGGGGGGGGGGNGGGGGGGGGGGGGGGGGGGGGGGGGGGGGGGGGGGGGGGGGGGGGGGGGGGGGTTGGTAGATGGAGAAGGGGGACCGAAAACGCAAAAACAGAGGACGAGCCTGTACGGGAACAAACCTGGACTCTCTTGCACCCGTGTACGCATATGAAGATCGATTTCTTTCATTTCAGTGAGGATAGAGCAAAAAATACGACCAAACCGCCAAGTTCTAGTACCTTCCACCTGTGGATGGAGATACATTTCTTTTGTTTCGGCTTGGACAGCACACGTAACAAGACCAAGCGGCCGAGTTCTACCACTTTCCACCTGTGGATGGAGATGCATTTTTTTCGTTTCGTTGAGAACGGAACAAGAAACACGACCAAGCAGTCGAGTTCCATCAATTGTACCGCACACAGCACATGATCCAAGCGTTTTTGTTCTTGTTGCTTCAGCCGGGCGGGCAGGCGGGCGGCCGATAGAGTGGCCAGGGGACGAACACAACGGATCAGCCGTTGAGCTGTTGCACGAGAAAACCTGTTNTCTCTCTCTCTCTCTCTCTCTCTCTCTCTCTCTCTCTCTCTCTCTCTCTCTCTCTGTCTGTCTGCCTGTCCCTCTCGTTCACTGTATCTTTCTCTCTCAATCTTTTGTATCTTTCACTACATCTCACAGACAAATGGCCGCGAGCTGTGTTTTTTGCCCGCTACAAGGCTGGGCGTCTCTCGCTAGTCGGCTTATCATCTATCATCGCCCAGCGGTCTCAACGTTGTACACACCTTGCTCACGCTGCCGTCGTAGATGCCATACAGCTCGGGCTGGGCGTCTTGCTTGGGCGCCTGTGGTGGCGGCGGGGGCACCGCAGAATCAAGAGGAAAAAGAAAGGGAGGGAGTGTAACATCAAGATAAGGAAGGGAGGAAGGGACGGGGTTGGGGGAGGGGATCGTAGAATGAGACAAAAGGGAGGGGGGAGGGGGACCGCATANGGGGGGGGGGGGGGGGGGGGGGGGGGGGGGGGGGGGGGGGGCGGTCGCGCAGAGGACGGGTCTATGTTGTGTCCCACGTTGGCGCCAAACATCGTTTCACTTTTGAAAAGAAGATGAAAATCACCGAAAAAACGCTTGTCTTTTGATTCGCTACAGTTCATGCAACGCATAGAAAAGTCTAACGCTGTTTTTTGCAACTCTCATTTTGTTCCGGAGGGTTGCGAAGGAAACAAGAAAAAAATTTCTAAATAACCCATTGTCACGAAAAAAGTATCTCCAGTGGGTGTTAGTCGCACGCGGTAAACAAACAGCAGCTGCTGCAAACTACGGTGGCTACGCACAAGCTAGTTAAACCGCCAACCCTCCAATTCGTGGCGTGGGCGGTCCAACTTTCCCGTTCGCCAAAAAAGGAAAGCGCCATATTGTACAAACAATTTGTACCTGTGTTTAAGTCGCGGAGAGTGGGCACGAGTTGCTCCCACGCACATACGGAGCTACACCCAGTGCCATGAACAACGCACGTGCGAGATGCACTTTGCTTCTACACCTGTGCATGGCGTACTCGGAGTGGGCAGAGAGCCCAACACACCGAGTGCCACCAAAATACACAATCGCGACACGCATGTACCTGCGGGCGTCTGTCACCCCCCCGCCCCCTGTCGTCAGCGTCCCCCCAGCGTGAGGACCTCCCCCCCCCCCCACGGTCGTCGCCGTCGTCATCATTACGGCCACCACTACCCCCACCACCTCGACGACCATCTCTACCCCCCCTGCCCTCTTCCTCCTCGCGTCGGTGCCCCCCCCCCCTGTCCCTGTCCCTGTCCCTGCTGCCGTCGCGCCGCCGTCTCCGGTCGCGGTCGTCATTGGAGCGGTCCCTAGAACGGTCCCTAGACCGGTCTCTGGAACGGTCGTCGCCCCAACGGGAGGACCTCCTTTCGTCCCGGCCGCCGCTGCGGCTGAGACTCCTGCTCCGGCTCCTGTTATTTACGTCCCGATACCATCGTTGGTCGAATTTTCGCAGACGGCAGGTGATTGCGTCCGCTTTCTTGCATAACCATACACAGCCAGTGCGTTTGTGTGGCTGCCTATCGAGTGTGAGCCCCAAGCATAGGATGCCTCGAGGGGATTGGTTTGGTCGTTGCGGGGTTCTGACGTGGTCAGGACGAAGATGTAGTTATGCCTCCAACTGTGTCAGCCGCTTGGCGCGGTCTGTACCCTCAATACAAGAACGCACACATACATCTTCTCTCCGAAAGGTTTGGCGAAGGGCTTCATGTTGGCATTACGGAATCGCGCTCGGCACGTTGTACACTTTCCGACCTCTGGCCCCCTTCCAGGGATCTCGAACTTCTTACCCGCTGGCTCTGACGTCTTGTCATTGGTCAAGCCGTTTTGCGCAGTCTATGCTACCAACACACGCACGCACACACACACACACACACACACACACACACACACACACACACGCCGGTGTGACCGGCTTCACCTCAGGGGTCGTCCCAGATTACACCGTTCGAATGTTGCATGACGTTAGATACCATACCCCTGGACCTGGACCGATTTTCAAAGCTCCTCGATTACTCCACACGACCAAGAGGATGCCGGAGGCAAACGATGCGTATTCGGAAAGCTTGTCAACGGGACGGTTCCAACTCCGCCATCTTCGGCACCGTCACTTCTTTCTTTCCCTGCCGAGCAAATCAAGCTTTGAAAATCGGCCCACGGGGTGTGATACCATGCTGCATCTGATGCCAACTACGGTATGGTCCTTTTACACCCGCTTCCCGCTTCAACTTCGTCGCTCTGGTAGACGCGGGCACGTCTATCCATTGGTCCATCCGTTGGCGCGGTCGATGTCAACCAAAGATTGGTCAGCCGGTTACCACTGTCCATACCAACCAAAGCAAACACGCACGCAGCCTTTACAGACACGTGTAGTTTCCTCTGTTGCTACCATTTCTGTCCTTAATCCGGAGAATATCTTAGCTTCCCCCGTGCCGCCCCCTCACGGGGTCCCAGTTGATGGCATTTACAAGTGTTGTGTGTTTTCAACCGCTCTGAGACTGACGTCTTTTCATTGGTCAGCCGGTCAGCGCGGTCGATGCCAACAATAAAAACACACACACGCACACCCGAACCTGTTCCGCTTGCGGGGGTGCCGTGTATCATCATCGCCCCCCTCCCCTCTCCCTGCCGCCGCCTGGCTAGCGTCCCTTTCCCTTTCCTCCTTCCTGGCCTTCTTGGCAGCAGCGACCGCGGCCGCGGCCTCCTTAAGATCTTGCTCCTTCTTCTCCTGTTTTACGGGCGGCAAGGGGTGTGTGTGGGGGGGGCGGGTATACTTACATATACTCATAGCCGTGCACGCTGTAGAGGGGAGCGAGTACTCATGTAAAACGCATGACTCAGCGGTTAGACCATTGGCCACGCGTCCTCGAGGGAGGGGGGCGTACTTGTATGTTTTGGCATGCCTTTGCGGTTAGACCATTGACCACGCGTCCTCAAAAGGACGGAGTAATGTGTTCCCTCAGGACCGGTCATAGTTGGTCAATCGTTCCTCCCTACTTTACCGGGCGTCGGGGGGGGGGGCTGGTACTCACATTTTTCATGACTTAGCGGCTAGACCATTGACCACGCGTCCTATAGAAGATGACGACGGGAAGCGGGGGGGGGCGTACTGATGTAAACGCATGCCGTAGTCGTTAGACCATTGATCTCACATCCCTACAACAACAACACCGAGCGATATATATGTATGCCGGGTTTCGCCGGCCGAGGCTACATTTCACAAGAGGGTGAACCAGAAAGCTGGTAATTATCCTTGGGTTTGCTGTTGAGCCAAACCAGATGTGCGATCGGTTGATTGGGCAGATGTACCCATGTTTTGCATGACTTGGTGGTAAGACCATTGGCAACGCAACCTCGAAAGGACTGGAGGGGTGGAAG